GTGTGTGTGTGTGTGTGTGTGTGTGGTGTGTATGCGAGGTGGGGACGAGGAGATGGTGGTAATATGCAGACCAAGGCGTGCACAGACCCGCACACCCCACCGGCACCAAACAGCTCCGGAAGCCAGAACCGGCCGGCCCTGCGAGACAGCTGAGCCGGTCAAACGCCGCGCGCGCCCCGAACGCGGATTTTCGTTACCCGAACTTGATCCCCAGCAGCGACCCCACACTTTTTTCTCCAACCCCCAACCCTGCCAAAAAGAAGAAAAAAAAAGAGGAATTCAAACCGTGTTAAGACGCGCATCCAAGCCATCCCGTCGCCTCGGCGCAAAGAGCACCGATTGCCGGCTCGCACGCCTCTCCCGGCTGCGAAGAAAGCCAAAGCCCCCCAGAAAGGCCGTTCCGACATCCATCCGACACACGCATTCCGACCCACTCAAGATGCCGATGCAAGTCAAGAAACGAACGTGGTATTGAGTCAGGAGCAACGTGGTATCCACCCGAGCCACCCGCCGTGCTACAGCGGGTTGTTGCGTAGTGATGCGCGTGCCTGGCCTGCTGTGCTCTGCCACTAGATCCAGCCAATGAGACCCCTGGAGCGCGCACCAAACACGAGCGCCAGCAGCAGCACGAGCAGCACCGAACGCCTGCCCATCAGGCCTTGGCGGGTCTCTTGATGCGCACGGTAGCCCAGGGCCGAACATCGAGTGTTAGAGCGCCAGTCGAGCGAGCGAGCAAGGCGAGGCGCGCGCGTGTGAAAAAGAAACAAATCCCAGGTGGTAACCGCCGCATTCCCACCGCGTAATCGCACGCCAAGATACGGCGGAGATTCAAGGCCGACGAAGGCAGTGGCCGGAGGGGAGCAAGAGTGGGGGAGGATGAGGGGCGTCAGCGTAAAGAGGTCACGTGATTCAAGCCGTCCCGCAGCGTTTGGGTGAGCGTAGGACAGTGCAACATTGGAGCCAAGATGCATCGGACATGTGCCCAGACGCAAGAGAGAGGCGGGGAAAAGAGGCAAAGGAGATGTACGGAATCCGCTGCTCAGTTTGCTGTTCGTCGCCGCGGTGTGTGCGAGGGGAAAAAGGGATGCTGCGGGAGAGGCCCGAGGAAACGCTGCGGTGCGGCGGGGGCGGGGGCGG